AATTCTGTGTTTAGTTTGATTATCTTGGGCTAACCTTTGAATTCACTTTGAACTCCCAGTCATTCTCACTTTATTGAATAGCTCTGTAAATTCCTGTACTGTTCACGGTGCTTTCTCATGGCTGTTGGGGATATTTTTACAGCAGATGCTGAGTAAGTGGGGTGGTTGCTTAAATATTGCATGGGCGTCTTTATTTCAGGTTACAAGTTTCAAGTCACTTAATGTAATGAATATTTTATTAACAAAACCAAATTAAAACCCAAACATGTAGTCCTTACTATGATACACAGCCTTACAGAACAGTTTGAAACAAGAGAACGTGGTTGTGTAAGCTGAGTGATCATCGAACCATGACATTGTCAGGTCCCTTTTGTAGGATGCCTGCTCTTTATTGTATCTGCTCCTCTCTGGTTACATATCACTGGATACTATTCCTGCTCAAGATTTTTCCACCTTGGATATCTAGAAAAATAGTAAGAACTATTATAGGTAAGAAAAGAGTCTACACATCTGTATTTATATTGTATCTTCTTCGTGGAAGAACATCCAACTGGACACATAGATTAACTCTAGCATATGAGGACATTTTGGGAATTTTCGGCAGATATAATGAAGTTTTATTCAACCCTTCTGTACAGTTCTTTTTGGCTATTTACAACAGTTCTGGATTTGAAAGGTGAGAGTTACTGAGTTTTTCTTAAACGTTCTCTGAAATCATTAAAAATGATAAATTCTTTAGGCAAGTGATGAATACTAAAATTATAAAAAATAGTTTACTATCACATTTAGATGTATCTTGCTTTAAATTAGCCTTTTAATTTTCTCTATTTCTCTCTCCTCTTTGTTTTTAAACAACTGTGTATATGTAAATAAGAGGCCCATGCAAGTCACAGGATTCTGTCATATTATTTTAACAAAACAAAATAAAAGCTATCCCCATCCCCATCAGACTGTTTGCAGGAAAGAATCAACAAACTTCAAATATTTTGGGTGTTTTCGAAAGGCATGTTTAAATGTAATTTTTCTTTTTCAATATGCACAATATTTAATAGGTGAACAAATGTTGATTGTACAGAAAATCCTTTAAAAATCCTTTATCGGACAATGAGGTTATGCATAAGAAAACAGTGTTGAAAATAAATAACATTTCTGAATATGTAACATTTAAATTTCCCCCACATATTTTATTATCCTCTGATGTATACATTAACCCATATACTCATACAGCAGATAAACACACTAATACATGCACACACACAATCATACATACATACTCACTGATACACACACATACATACATACTGATAAATGCATATACATTATTATTATTTGCATTTATACATGCTCAGATATTCTGACTGTGTGCATTGCAGTGTTTATCAGTATCTGTGTGTGTGTGTGTGTGTGTGGCATTGTGTATCTGTGCATGTGCGTGAGAGTGTGTGTCTGGAAGTTCCTGTATGTGTTTGTGAGTGTATGTGTATCAGTGTGTTTGTAATGTATATCTGTGTGTGAACATGTAGTTGTGCTTCTCTATGTCTCCGAGCATGTGTTTCTTTATGTCTGAGAGAGTATGTTTGTCTGATCTGCGAGAGGTGTGTTGTATAGTTAGGGGGGGCTGCTTGTGGTCTTGACATATGCGTAGTGTTTATAGCAAGGCAGTTGTGCATGACTGTGCATGTATTAGAGTAATTGTGTGTGCATTGTGTGACTGTGTGTATGGGAGATGAGTATGTGTATGGAAGTGGCTGTGTATATGGGGGATTGACTCTGTGTATGGCGGTGACTGTGCATATGGAGGGTGACTGTGCGTGGGGTGACTGTGTAGAATGTGATTGTGGCGGGTGACTGTGGAGGTGTAAAAATGTGTGGAGAGGCTGCATTTATGTGTCCATCCTGCCTGCCAAGTATAAAATGTAATGATGTAACTCTGCCTTCAGAAGTTCAGCAATTGCCATCTGCTGTTAAACATCCATGATCACGTAACATCCTTCGTTGTTTTATTATGTATCAGTGACTAAGAATAAATCGTAAGAAACCATAAGTTAGATTGTGTATTAGTAATTTTCATTAATATAGACGTATATAGAAACATAGAATGTGACGGCAGAGAAGAACCATTTGGCCCATCTAGTCTGCCCAATTTTCTAAATACTTTCAGTAGTCCCTGACCTTATCTTATAGTTAGGATAGCCTTATGCCTATCCCACGCATGCTTAAACTCCTTTACTGTGTTAAACTCTACCACTTCAGCTGGAAGGCTATTCCATGCATCCACTACCATCTCAGTAAAGTAATACTTCCTGATATTATTTTAAACCTTGCCCCTCTAATTTAAGACTAAGTCTTCTTGTTGTGGTAGTTTTCCTTCTTTTGAATATAGTCTCCTCCTTTACTGTGTTGATTCCCTTTATGTATTTAAATGTTTCTATCATATCCCCCCTGTCTGGTCTTTCCTTCAAGCTACACATGTTAAGTTCCTTTAACCTTTCCTTGTAAATTGTATCCTGCAATCCATGAACCAGTTTAGTAGCCCTTCTCTGAACTCTCTCTAAAATATCAATATCCTTCTGGAGATACGTCTGGAGATACGTCTTGTGCAGTCCATGCTTCGATGCATCAGAGCTATTTTGGCAGCACCAGGGGAAACTACATGATACTAGGCAGGTGATTTAAATATTGTGCATAGCTTACAAGTGATCTCAACATTTAATAGACACACATCCAAATCCATGGACTCTTCAACTACCAATACAAGTCTAAGGCTTGGGTTCCCTTAAACAGGACTGCATACAATACTCCAAGTGAGGTCTCACCAGTGTTCTGTACAATGACATGAGCACTTCCCTATTTCTACTGCTAATACCTCTCCCTATACAACCACATATTCTGCTAGCATTTCCTGCTGCTATATTACATTGTCTGCCTACCTTTAAGTCATCAGAAATAATCACCCCTAAATTCCTATCCTCAGATGTTGAGGTTAGGACTCTATCAAATATTATGTACTCTGCCCTTGGGTATTTACGTCCAAGATGCATTATCTTGCACTTATCCACATTAAATGTCAGTTGCCACAATTCTGACCATTTTTCTAGTTTACCTAAATCATTTGCCATTTGGCTTATCCCTCTTGGAACATCAACCCTGTTACATATCTTAGTATCATCAGCAAAAAGACATACCTTACCATCAAGACCTTCTGCAATATCACTAATAAAAACATTAAAGAGAATGGGTCTAAGTACAGATCCCTGAGGTACCCCATTGGTGACAAGACAATGCTTTGAATATAATCCATTGATTACAACCCTCTGTTGCCTGTCACTCAGCCACTACCCTTTACCCAGTCAACAATATTGGAATCCAAACTTAAAGATTGCATTACTGGCCTATAGTTACCCAACTCCTCCCTATTACCTTTCTTGTGAATGGGCACAACATTCGCTAACTTCCAATCGTCTGGGACTACTCCTGTTAACAATGATTGGTTAAATAAATCTGTTAATGGTTTTGCTAGTACACCACTAAGCTCTTTTAATAACTTTAGGTGTATTCCATCAGGTCCCATTGACTTATTTGTCTTTACTTTTGTCAGTTGAAATGGAACCTCTTCCTCTGTAAACTCACATCTAACAAATAAGTCATAAATAACCTGACCGCCATAAATAACCTGACCGTAATGAACTCCAATTATACACATCTTCTAAAATACTAACCAAGAGGACGATTTTGCCCCCTTTGCAATTAAGCAACTTAATAAATAGCTAATAATAATAGTAATAATAATAATAATAATAATAATAGGTTGATGAGGAAGGAGAGCACCATCTTGCGGTGCACTGCTTCTAAAATAGATTTTTCCAGTCAGTGACATTACTGGTTGGCAATTTTATACATCCAGTCGTTCCTGTAACTTGCGACCGGAGCCACCAGTCAGGGCAACCTGGCTCCTAGCCTAGCAAGAGCTCACATTCTAATCTAATCAATCTAACCTGCCCAGAGGCAGCTAAACTACTCAGTAGCTAAATTCTGCCAAGAAATACATTGTAACCTAACCTTATTCCTGCACATATGCATGTACTGTCCCTGGGCTTATTGCTTGGTGCTTTACAGAACAAACATAAACATGAAACAAAATGAGAACTGGCTGAACGTACAAATATATTGGGAAATAAAACTTAATGTACTATTGGTGATAAAGGTGGACCCTAACACAGCTGCATGCTGGGAATCAATTGTCTCTAATAACAAGTGACAGGTAATGAAAGGGAGTTAATTAATCAAATTCACAATCAAACCAATAAATAATATGAAACTTCGACAACACAGGAGCTCTTTGTAATGGCTGGTGAATCCCAGGCGATTTTACCATCGTAGCGTAGGACAACATTCATGTTCACTGGCTCAAAGACCTCATCATCTGCCCTATCACAATGAAGGAGAATAAACTTTAATTAAATGCCTTTTCATCTTGTCTATAACAAAACTCAGTTTATTTGTTATTTTAACTGTAAATCTCTGTATTATTTAAGATGTCAAACAATCCCTAATCACATTCTTCCATGTTCTTAGATATACTAAAATGGTCCATGGTGGATTTTTATAATTATTAGTATATAGCACCAACATATTTGACTGTGATTTACACAATAGATAAACATAAGACTACTCAACACTAGACTATGTCCTTCATTTATTTTGTTTGAATCAACATCAGAAATTATTTGAATCTTGTAAAAAAAAAAATTAAAATAATTTAACTTCAAAAAACTTTTTTTTACTTTTCAAACTTAAGCAAAGCTTTAAAAAAAAAAGCCAATACCTAGTCAGGGAATAAAAAGGTGTGTGCTTTTGAAATATGCCACGTTATCCAGTCTCCATCCTTTAATATGAAGCCCACAGGCTTCCCGGCTTGCTCACAGTTAGAGATGTTGCGAACCTTCCGCGAACTTCCCGCGAACGGTTCGCCACGAACCGTTCGTGGCGAACTCCGGTCAGCTGACACATCCCTGCCAATCTCCGGCAGACCCTCCCTCCCAGACTCTCCCACTTCCTGGACAGCATCCATGTTGAAGCTGCCTTCAACATGGATGCTGTCCAGGAAGTAGGAGGGTCTGGGAGGGAGGGTCTGCTGGAGATTGGCCGGGATGTGTCAGCTGACCGGAGTTCGCCACGAACCGTTCGTGGCGAACCGTTCGCGGGAAGTTCGCGGCGAACCGTTCGCGGGAAGTTTGCGGGCGGTTCGCCACATCTCTACTCACAGTCAGACGCTGCTACCTGTAATTTCTTAATTAAATGTTTTTCTCAATTGTTTTCCGTAATTAGTTCCATAATCATATTTACAAGCATGGCCCTTGTTTTACACGGGATCGACAATTCTCTAAATTGCTTTACTTTCACTTCAAAGGTGTCGAAGCAGCAAAAGGAAAATATGCTCAGATGTTATTTCGGGATTTGTTTGAGGATTATTCCAACGCACTGAGACCGGTGGAAGACACTGATAAAGCGCTCAATGTTACACTTCAGATCACTCTCTCTCAGATCAAAGATGTGGTGAGTGGAAGTGAATAATATCTAGTCTGTCTGTCTATCTAGTTAGCTAATTACTTGTCATTCAGACTTTACGGAAATAATGACAAAGGTAGCAGAATCAAATTCCTGTTACTCTACCCCGGAACAAATCAATGGGTCCCGGAGTAACCTGGGGAATAAGACTCCACAAATAAATCTGAGATGGATCAGTTTGCATTTGCAATGAACATTACACGATTTTTGGGATGAAGCTTTCAAAATAATGATGTCTAGACTCTATATGTCTGCACAATACAATTCACACAGTATTATTATTATTATTATTGGTATTTAAATAGCGCCAACTAATTCCGCAGCGCTTTACAATATTATGAAAGGGGGAAATTTACAATAAATTAGACAATTACACAGTGACACGGGAACAATAGGTAGATGAGGGCCCTGCTCAAACAAGCTTACAGTCTAGAGGAGGTGGAGTACAAATACACAACATTGCGGCAAGGGTGACAGCCATCAAACAAGGTGGAAAAGTAGCAGAGCTTGAGGTGAGACTGGAGTATGGCTCTTTTAGGAGAGCAAGAGACAGATTTGGATAATTATAGATAACTTACTCTCAGTGGTATCTCTAGGATTCATTTTCCGGGGGGGCACATGGAGGGCCAGGGACAAAAGTAGGGGGGCACATTTGACCCCACCCCTGTCGCATGTTAAGCCCCGCCCCCGACACAATGTGTTTTGTTTTTTTAATAATCCCTGGTGGAGGATTCATTATTTTCCACCAGGGATTATGAAAAAAGCAAACACATTACCCTTGATACAGTGCCATATTGACAACATTTGAAATAAAAAATTTCCAAGGACATTTTGCAGCTATCAATTACTGTCTGGGTATAATATCCCTGGACAGTCAGTGCTCTCTGTATAATACAGGTCTGTTTGTGTATAATATCCCAAGACAGAGAGCAGCACTATACAGGGAGCACTGACTGTCCCGGGATATTATACAGGCACAGGCCTGTATTATACAGAGAGCAGCACTATACAGGAAGCACTGACTATCCCGGGATATTATATACACACAGATCTGTATTATACAGATAGCTGAGCATATACCCCATGTCCCAATCTCTAGACTACTAGTACCTGTCAACAGCAGCTCCCAGACGCGTGTAACAGGGCTAAAGTGTGCGGCAGCTCACACAGATGATTCAGCGGTAAAGTGCACTCGCTGGCAGAGCCAAACTGGGAATCCCTGGGAATCCAAAGCAGCCCTGGAAAAAAAATGTATGCCATTCCTACAAGTCAATATATATATAGTACAGTAAGCACACAAGCTCACTGACATGCGCAAATAGGCTTACTGACAGACAAAAGTCTCTGACTCACACACAAGCTTACTACAGACAAACTCACTTGTATAAACAGAAAGCTCACTACAAATAAGTTCAGGGACACACACAAGCTCACTAAAGACAAGCTCACTGACACACACATGCTCACTAAATAGAAGCTTACTGACACACAAAAGCAGTACCATTTTAACAGAGTTAAAGGCCCCTGGGCAAAGCAATGCACTGGGGCCCTTCCTACACAACAACTCACAGGAATTTTAAATTGATAGACTGTGGAGTCCATACACACACAGAGACTGCTGAGTCCATACACACACAGAGACTGCTGAGTCCACACACAGACTGCTGAGTCCACACACAGACACACACTGCTGAGTCCATACACACACACAGAGACTGTTGAGTCCATACACACACAGACTGCTGAGTCCATACACACACACACAGACTGCTGAGCAGTGGCGGATCCAGAGCCTGATCTCGGGAGGGGCACTTGTAGATTATTTAAAGAAATAATCCAGTCACAATAACCACTACAGCTCAGTCCATACACACACACAGAGACTGCTGAGTCCATACACACACACACACATAGACTGCTGAGTCCATACACACACACACACACACACACACACAGACTGCTGAGTCCATACACACACACACAGACTGCTGAGTCCATACACACACACAGACTTCTGAGTAAATACACACACACAGACTGCTGAGTCCATTCACACACACAGACTCTGCTGAGTCTGTACACAGACTCAGCAGAGTCTGTGTGTGTGAATGGACTCAGCATAATCCAGACACAATAACCACTACAGCTCAGTCCATACACACACACAGAGACTGCTGAGTCCATACACACACACACACAGAGACTGCTGAGTCCATACACACACACACACACACACACACACACAGACTGCTGAGTCCATACACACACACACACACACACAGACTACTGAGTCCATACACACACACACAGACTGCTGAGTAAATACACACACACAGACTGCTGAGTCCATTCACACACACAGACTCTGCTGAGTCTGTACACAAACTGCTGAGTCCATACACACCCACAGACTGCTGAGTCCATACACACACACACAGACTACTGAGTCCATACACACACACACACACAGACTGCTGAGTCCATACACACACACACACAGACTGCTGAGCAGTGGCGGATCCAGAGCCTGATCTCGGGAGGGGCACTTGTAGATTATTTAAAGAAATAATCCAGACACAATAACCACAACAGCTCAGTGTAGTGGTTATGGTGTCAATAGTGCCGGGACCCCATCCCAGAGTAAGTAGTCAAACTGTTTAAGAACAGTTTGACAACTTACCTGAGGTCTGCTGGGAAATGGGGCTGTAGTAGGGCATAGGAGCAGTTGTGTGTGTGTGAGTGGTGCAATGTGTAAGAGGTGCAGTGTGTGTGTGTGTGTTTGAAGGTTGTAGTGTGTGAGTGAGGGCGGCAGTGTATGTCAGGGATGCAGTGTATGCGTGGGACAGTATGTGTGTGTAACAGTTGCAGTGTGTGTGTGTGAGTATTGCAGTGTATGTGTGAGTGTGGGCAATATGTGTGTATGGGGCGGCAGTGTATGGGGGCAGTGTGTGTGTATAGGGATAGTGTATGTGTGTAGAGTTTGTGTGTATGGGGGAGCAGTATGTGTGTATGGGGGGCAGTATGTGTGTATGGGGGGGCAGTGTGTGTGTATGTAGGGGGTGTGTGTGTATGGGGGCAGTATGGGGGGGCAGTGTGTGTGTATGGGGGGCAGTATGTGTGTGGCATGTGTGTGGAGGCAGTGTGTGTGTATGGGGGGCAGTATGTGTGTGTATGGGGCAGTGTGTGTGTGTGTATGGGGGGCAGTGTGTGTGTATGTGGCAGTGTGTGTGTGTGTAATGGGGCAGTGTGTGTGTGTATGGGGGCAGTATGGGGGCAGTGTGTGTGTATGGGGCAGTATGGGGGCAGTGTGTGTGTATGGGGGGCAATGTGTGTGTATGGGGGAATGTGTGTGTATGGGGGGGCAGTGTATGTGTGTAGAGTGTGTGTGATAAGGGTAGGGGGCTTTTTTTTTATAATATATATATATATGTATATATATATATATTTTTTTTTATTATTATTTTTTTTTTTATTTAATTAAAATAAATATTTATGTCCCCCCTCCCTTCTTACCTTTACTGGAAGGAGGGGGGACACTTCCTGGTGGTCCGGTGGTGAATCCCTGGTGGTCCCAGTGGGGAGTGTGATCTCTAGCCCGCACTCCAGGGCTAGAGTTCACTCTTGCGAGATTTGGAGCGTTGCCGCGGTTACCACGACAACGCTCCATGCTTGGGAGAGTAGGACTGGAGGAGCTGCAGGCAGAGCTCCCGGGTCCTCTCTCCTTCCCCTGCCGGGTGTCAGCACAGTGCCTGCGGACCGGGGAGGGAGATCTCTGATCTCCCCTCAGGTCCACAGGCACATTGCAGGGCTAGCACCTGCATGTGCTGGCAGGGGAGAGGGAGACCGTCGGTTTTCTCGGGGGGGGGGGGCAATTGCCCCGTTGCCCCCCCCGGATCCACCAATGCTGCTGAGTCCATACACACACAGACTGCTGAGTCTATACACACACACACATACACACACACACACAGACTGCTGAGTCCATACACACACACACACACACACACAGACTGCTGAGTCCATACACACACACACGCACAAACTGCTGAGTCTATACACACACAGACTGCTATGTCCATACACACACACAGACTGCTGAGTCCATACACACACACACACACACACGCACAAACTGCTGAGTCTATACACACACAGATTGCTGAGTCCATACACACACACACACACACACACACAGACTGCTGAGTCCATACAAGCACACTGCTATGTCCATACACACACACACACATCAAGCCTACCTGTCACTGGAGGCTGTTGCTGGGGATCAGACAGCCATCTTCTGCAGCAGCAAGGTCTGCTGCTTTACGGCAGGGGCGGGGCTTATGTAGGGAGACGGGGCTTCGTTTGGGGGCGGGGCCTGTGCCGGGGAGCATTCCCTCGGGCTGTAACAGGTTGTTACAGTCCGAGGGAAGAACATGGCCAGCAAGTTGCCAGCATTTGGGGGGGGGGGCACAAGGGGGGGCACAGCATGATGTAGGGGGGGCCATGGCCCCCTCTGGCCCCCCCCTAGCGACGCCACTGGTTACTCTTGGAGTCCATAAGCATTTCTGAACAGATGTGTTTTGAGGGACTTCTTAAATAATTGAAGACTAGGGGAGAGTCTGATGGGGGTAGGCAGGCTGTTCCAAAAGAAGGGAGCCGCCCGCAAGAAGTCCTACAAGAGCGAGTTAGCAGTAAGGGTGTGAGCAGCGGACATGAGAACATCACTGGCAGAGCGGAGAGACCGAGAAGGGGCGTATCTATGAATAAGGGAAGAAATGTAAGAGGGGCTAGAGTTAGTTAGCGCTTTATAGGTAAGGATTTGTATGACGGAACCACCGCTTCTTCAGGTGCTTTTTACTTGTACTGTGTGTTTTTCCCTTGCCTTTGTATATTGTACCCGCTCCCCATTCGAGAGCGCTCCTCCGAAAAGAACTCCTTCATTTCCCGAACGTGGACCACCCCAATATCTAATTTAGAACACTAGTTAGAATGTTCAAATAGAACGTTCGCACTCACATCATAGGTGTGAAACCACAAGGGAAGCCATCAATGAGAGCTCCTCTGGGTGGCTGCCATTTCGTATAGACAAACGCCAGCCATGGAGAGCGTTCGTGGATTGGGTCCCAAATCGTTCGTCTCCTGAACATGGACCTCCCCAGTGCCCCATTGGAATGTTCCCACCAATTAATCAGAACATTTGCACTTGCAACATAAGTGTGAAACCGCATGGGAAGTAATTAATGAATACCCCCTGGGTGGCCGCCATTTCATATAGGCAAACGCCAACCAGGGGGAGCATTCGTATCCCAAAAGGAGATGTTTCTCTTGCAGGTTTCAGCACAAGAACCTCATGAACGGAGATTGGTCAGGGAATGTGCCATTCTGGGGTCACCTGAGGTTGGTGGGGACACTTTTGTGGCACTGGCTAGTTTGGCGGGCTTTCTGTGCCTGGGAGACCAAGGGATGGTCTATTTTCCCATGCTTTGGCTCCCAGGCCCAGAGGCTCCTGTGATAAAGACCTCCCTGTTGCCCTGCAATATGTGCAGTTACCTGGAAATTGCCAGGTATCGGTGCAATACAAGACCTAGAACTCTGTGATAAACTCTGACGGTGGGTTTTACTGTATGTTTTATTGCTGCAAAGCTCCTGCATATCTCAATCCTGTATTACTAAGCTCCACAGCAACAAAACCAGTATTAAAACATTCTGTTATTCACAGCACTGCCACAATATTTGGCTGGGCCTATCCCAAATGTATGCTCTCAATTCATTCCTGGTATGAAACAATCTAAAATGCTATAAAATAAAATCAGCTTGGCACGTCAATTCAATGTCATTAAATTCTCCTAGGATGAGAGAAACCAGATCCTGACAGCATATTTATGGATCCGGCTCAGCTGGTTTGATGCCTATCTGCAGTGGGACAGAGATGAGTATGACGGGCTGGATTCCATTCGTATCCCTAGTAACATGGTATGGAGACCAGACATTGTGCTGTATAACAAGTAGGTACCCAGAGGTGGATTATTATTATTTTTTGTAAATATATTTTTTATTGTTTTACCGTTTTGGGAAAATGCCAGTTAACAAGTACATTGACTGGACTCGCAGGTCCGTCTCTTGACAAGAACAAGGGGAAGACCATTGGTTTTGCATAGGTATGTTATAGTGTGGGCTCGCATGCCCCAGGCACAAAGAGGACTCGCAGGTCCCATCAAGACCATTGTGGCATTATGAGGTGTAACAAGTGATCCGCAGTCCTTCTAGTTGTAAGGTGCTGACACCGTTCTGGTCTTATCTCATGCCCTCTGGCTACTATCTGTGTGGCGTGTTTGGCTATCAGCGTGCCCTGTTCTATCTGTCCCCTGTTATGTACCGGGGTCCGTGGTAGGGTGAGATACCACTGTCCCTAGGTGGTCCACGGCGGTTGTGTTTCGTCCACCCCGCTCTGGAGTTAAGTTCCTGTCTGTGTAGTGGGCTTCCTCTATGTGTGACTCCCAGGTTACCCTTTCTACCGTAGTTCTAGATAATCCCTGTCATCTCGTGAAGGTTGCGGGTAGGGGTGACTGAGGTGGTAGGGGTAGGCAGTAATGGGAGAGTGTTGGGGGGTCCGGGGCCTGTCATCATCCAAAGTCTGTAGCGTGTTGGGGTTTGTATTCTGTCCCTGTTGTTGGACCTATGATTTGTCCAGAAAATCTGGTTTTGTCGCCTTCAGTAGCCATTGCGTCCATATATTGAGGTAGTTTTGGTGTGTGTTAGTCGTGGTAGCGTGGAGATCTTCTACGGATCTCAGCTCTTCCATTTGTGTGAACCAGGTTCTCAATGGCAGGGTGATCGGTTGTTTCCAGTGTTGTGGAATGTTTGTTTTAGCTATGTTTAGTATGTGTATCGTCAGTGATTTCTTATAGAGGAACCAGGGGACCTTGGTGTGGTGTAGGAGCATTTCGGCGGGACTAAATGGGGGTGGGTCGTCCGAGAATTGCCCTATTATTGTGTATATTCCCTTCCAGAACGGGACAATCTTGCTGCACTCCCACCAGATGTGCAGGAGCATGCCCCTCTCCTCGCCACATCTCCAGCACATTGGGGAGTGGTCTGGAATGATTGTGTTTAGTGTGGTGGGGGTGCATACCAGTGTATTAGTAGTCTGTACGCCGTTTCTTGTGTCTTACTGAAGCTGGAGCAATGGTGCGTGAGGTAACAGATTTTTTCCCATTCTGTCCAGGGCCATCTCCCATTTTCCCACAAAGCTTGGCTGTGCGGTTGGTGTTTGTGTCAGAAGTGAGGTGTATATGAGGGAGACTCCATGAGTTAGCGGGTCTGGGTTTAAGCAGACTTCTTCAAAGTAGGTGGGGGCCCTTGATAGAATCACCCCCTGTGGGAGCGTTGCGATGTAGCTCTGGATCTGTTTATGTTTTAGGTGCATCAAGAGAGTATGTTCTGCGTCCCCCCTTAAGTCGCTAAATGTCTTGATTATTTTTTATATTTACATGTCCAGGGAAATGGGGGGGACTGTTTTTTGTTGCTATATTCATTTTGTAGGTCTGACCCACGTTGTGCGAATTACTTTCAAAATCAACATTGGAACACATGAGAATTAACTTAATTTCATCTGAGTTTAAGCTCTAGAACAGGGGTAGGCAACCCTTTAGCAGCACTGTGCCGATATAAGACTGTGATGTCCCGTACCGTGTCGGTCCTATTTTTTTAAATTGAGGTGTGTATGTTGCCGTATTCAAAGTAATAGGTGTGTTATTTATACTGTAATTGCTTTTGTATTGTTGTATTTGTGCGTATATGAGCTATTATATTGTATATGTTCATTAGTAGTTTATGGTATCGTGTATGATACATATGAATGTGGGCTGTGCATGAGGGCTGCTTGTGGAATTGTGTGTGTGAATGGAAATGTCACATTGTGTGTTTGGTAGTGTGCGTATGTGAGGGGCTTTTTGGGGTATTGCATGTGAGAGGCTGCATGTGGGGTTGTGTGCATGTATGTGGATTGTTAGCGGGTTACGTTTGTGCGGATTGTGTGTATGTTTGTTTGTGGGCTGTTCGTATTATTTGTATTAGGGGAGGGTTATTCAGCATTTCTGTGTATATCTAGCAGTGTGGGTGGCTTCCCTGGGTTCCAGGCTGGCCAGGTACAGGTCAAGAAAGGGAGCTGCAACAGCAGCTGCAGGCTGCTATACTACAATGTGGATTCCCATACACAAGTGCTGGGGGGAAGTGATCTGAGATAACTTCCACTATGTACTGCAATGCATAAATTGAGGATTGTCCTTCACCACCTCTTCGGATTAGCAGATATCTGAAGTTTTACAGGGACTCCTGATAGGCCAGAGCCTGTTTGGCTCTAGCAGCCTTGAGTGTCGTGCAAAGACACCTTGAGTGCCGTGCATGGCACTAGTGCCGTAGGTTGCCTTCCCCTGCTCTAGAACATATTATAATAGTCATGTATGGAACACGTTATATACAGGTTTATTCACTTTAGTGAGATTTCAAAGACAATTCAAATAGATTTTCAGATTGAATGCCAAAAAAGTCAACTATGCTTTCAAGTTGGCTGCACTGGCCTTAATTTGAAATTCACTTTAAATTCTCACTTCAGTAAATAACGAGGATAACGGCATTAGTTTATGCTCTGATGGTTAATGATGACATTGATAAAGCATGATGCTACTTCCAACTGCCCACATAACTTCTAGCAAGGTGAATGTGCACTAACTATGACCTCGATTTAATATTTTCGGATAAGCTTTTCAAATGATTAAACGGATACTAAATCATTTTAAAGGGTTATCCAAAAATCTTAATTTGAGGGCTATATTTGAAATACATTGCTTGATATCCCTATTAACATAGACAGATGGCCATAGACAATTATTTCTGGACATATTAAAATATATTATTTTAGATCATAGGAACAAGCTGATCATTCTTAGAGAAAAATCATTTTTGTAGATAAATCATTTGAAAAGTTTTTTCCTACCAGATTCGAATAATTTCTGATATTGATTGAAACAAAATAAATCAAGGTCATAGTCTTGTGTTGAGTATAACATTTTTGTATGTAGAATAGAGTATTAAATGTTTGTAAGCTCGTTTGAGCAGGGCCTTCTCCACCACTAACTTTCCACCACTATCTATTTTGAATAGCTCAGGAGAATTAGTAGATGCTTATAATTAAAATCGACCACAGACCATTTCAGTAAATATAAAAGCATGTAAGCCTGTGATTAGGGATTTTTTGATGTCTTACATGATATAAAGTTAAAATAATGAATACAATGATTTGTATTATACATAAGATGAAAAGGCATATTATTAAAGTTTATTCTTCTTCATTTTGATAGGGCAGATGATGAGTTCTCTGAACCAGTGAACACGAATGTTGTCCTACGCTACGATGGTAAAATTACCTGGGACTCACCAGCCATCACAAAGAGCTCCTGCGTTGTCGACGTTTCATATTTCCCTTTTGACAATCAGGAATGCAACCTCACATTTGGTTCTTGGACCTACAATGGCAATCAGGTGGACATCATAAATGCTATGGACACCGGGGACCTGTCTGACTTTGTGGAGAATGTAGAATGGGAAATGCATGGCATGCCAGCAGTGAAAAATGTCATTACATATGGCTGCTGCTCTGAGCCTTATCCAGATGTCACATTTACTTTGATTTTAAAGAGGAGATCTTCTTTCTACATATTCAACCTCCTTATTCCATGTTTGATGATATCCTTTCTGGCTCCATTAGGTTTTTATCTCCCTGCGGATTCCGGAGAAAAGGTCTCTCTGGGAGTTACAGTCCTCCTAGCCCTTACCGTATTCCAGTTAATGGTGGCAGAGAGCATGCCCCCTTCTGAGAGTGTGCCACTTATAGGTGAGTACAATTTGCTTTACAAAGTCCATCATCAGGTCATCTTGATCTCTTAGAATGTTGGTGTAGTGGTTTAAAACCATTCTGGAAGATATCTCAGATAACAAATTCTCCAATAGAACTGAATATGGATATGGGTCTATAATGCCAAACAATATTTGTTAGAAGTTTATTCAATTATACAGGTAAGCTGTCCAAGTGATATTAACCGTATAATTTTATTAGTTATAAATCACCCACATATTCTGCAGAAACACGATTTTGGTGCACTTTGCAAATAGATACAAAACTCCAAGTAGACTATACCAAGCATGCCAAAATAACCCAACATAACCAGTGCTTGCGTGAATGTACTCTTCTAGTATTTTAAATATAGTTGTTTTTTTAATGAAGATATCTGTGTTTTCTTTATTGCACAAAATTATAAAGTATATATATATATATATATGTATATATATATATATATATATATATAGTTAATTATGCTTTGGGTCTTACATAATTTAACTTTACACTGACTTTTTTGTGTTTTTTGATATCGCAAAATTAGTATAAATGTGTCAATTCTTGTTCTTTGCTGTTAATTGAATAAACCATTCAGCGTTGTGAAGACCTGATAATTTTATGTTGTAATTTTTGTTTATTTTAGGAAAATACTACATAGCAACTATGACCATGATCACAGCTTCTACTGCACTAACGATTATAATAATGAACATTCACCTCTGCGGAGCAGAAGCCAAACCCATCCCACAATGGGCCAGGGTTGTGATTTTGGACTATATGTCCAAAATATTTTTTGTTTATGATGTGGGTGAGAACTGCACCAGCTCCCAGAATGATGACTCTGACTCCAAATCAGAAGACAGCATCCATTCTTACGATGATTATGAGAGAGAGAATGACGTTTATGGGAACTACAAGTGCCCTGCCTCAGGGAGCGAGACTTTTGTCTGTGACTTTGACATTCAAAAAAAGCTGAACAGCCAAGTGGCTGGGAATTTTGGTGTCCAATGTGAAATGCCAGAGCGCCCGTATTGTTTTCACTGCATCCACTATAAGGTCCTGGTTAGTAACGTTGAATACATCACTAATTGGTACAAAGAGCAGAAGGCAATAAGCGCTAAAGGAATTGAGTGGAAAAAAGTGGCAAAAGTGATGGACAGGTTCTTTATGTGGGTATTTTTTAGTATGGTATTCTTTATGAGCATTTTAATCATTGCAAAAGCAGTGTGAGAATTTGTCACACCCTTAAAATAATTTAATTACATTTTAAATGATTCATTACTTTATGTTAATGGAACACTCTACCACCATTACCACTATAATGTGATGTAGTAGTTATGGTGCTAGGAGTGCCCTGGTGCCGCTTTAATGTAAGTAGTCAAACCATTTTCTACCAGTGTGACTTCTTAACCGGGGTCCATTGGGCACCACCACCTTCCCCTCAAAGAGTCAGAAGCTCTCCGTGTGAGCTAAGCTCTTATTTGTGTAAGTTACTTGAAGGCTTCAAGCTGTCCGGTGACTGACTGTCCTTGGCATACATATATCATGCCTCATAGAATCTACCCCTGTGTCACTGTCTGACAGGACAGCAACAGAACTCTCACTATAGTAACTAAAATCTAGTTCAGGTTTTGGCAACATTCGGCACTCCGGATGTTGTGGACTACATCTCCCATGATGCTCTTATTGCTATAATGCTGGCAAAAGCATCAGGGGAGATGTAGTCCACAACATCTGGAGTTCCGAACGTTGCCTACCCCTGGTCTAGTTCATACAATCTTGCTCCCAGGAGTAACATAGGTGAGCTCTTATGGCCTGAAGGCTGAGCACTGAGCAACAGACTAAACACTGCAGACACTAGACACTGAGACCCTCTGCTTGTCAGTGAACATCACACTTGTCTGCATTGCTTTTGCTATGACTGTGTGTCACCTCTAGGGAATAAAAATAGTCTAAGGAGTCGCACAGGGGGAAATAGCTCCTATAATAGCCAATGGTGGTGTGGCACAGTTAAGTGAGTTGCATGCCACCAACCCCAGCACCCCCATAGAGTCACTAATTATTGGTTGGGGTAACTGATAGTCCGACTCGATTCATAACGATGTCTGTCAGAAAGGGGAAGAGGGAAAGGTTGGCAAGTGATTTCTTCATAATTGTTAATATACACAAATTAAAAAAGAGACCGTATATTATAACATAAAGATTATATTATGGAATTAAACATGTTTTAATAACAGTTATTCTTTTACAAAGAGAACAGAATTGTTTGACTGCTCATCTTTTGGAAATGTAAAAAGCTATGAATAAAATTAAGAGGAAAATACCAAATAGTAAAGTATATAATAAAATATAATATTGACTAATATGCTATCATGAAATACCTGTAATATCGCTATGAAATTAATAAATAAAGACTGTAACATTTTATAAAGACTGTGTTGTTCAAAATATGACAGACTCCTTTTTAACACTTTAAGGACTGCTTGTTACAGTTGACTTGTCGTCATCCCAGTTTGGTCATTAAAGAGCATGGAATTCTTTTTTTAACTTAGTTCTGTCTTCTACTTACAGTATGTAACAGTATGTCACAGTATGTAACAGTATGTCACAGTATGTAACAAAAAAGCAACAGTGTGTATAAACCTAAACCTTTAGGTGTAAATTTAACAAAATAAACAACTTACATAACAGCTTCTACTTACAGCCCTGCATTTGTTAATTGTGTTAGCCATTCCAATTTGGGAAAAGATCTTTAAAGAATACGTTGTTATGATGA